ATATATACACAAACACACACACACACACATATATATACAGGATCCAGATTCACTGGTGAGCTCCCGCTTACATTTTGTAGCAGTTCTACAGTTAAGATGAAATGAGCAAGACCAGGAAGCCAATTTATGAATGCCCAGCAGTTTATCCAGAAAGAGAAGGCAAAGGAATCCTACAATACATAACCCACTGGTCTTGGTGCATTTATGGGCTACATTATTTTGACTGTGAACCACCTCCTGGAGAAACCCAAATCATTATTAATGCAAGCATCAAATTTTGTCACCACATTGGCAAAATACATTAGTACTCCAATATAAATGTGAGCATCACCTATGGAGCTTTTTAGAGACAGCTCTAGACTCTTTCAAATTGTGATGCAATAGGTCTAGAGCAGGATCAAGGTTTCCATAGCTTTAGGAACCATCACAAATCTTATTGGAGCCTGAATTGCATGACTCTAGAATGGACAGCTGTGTTTACTCCATGTCCACTGAGGAAATGCTTTGGTCTTTCTTTCTTTGCCATAAAATATAAATAAGAAGATTCATGATTCTGTGCAGTTGATCCAACACTCCACACTCCCTTATCAGTGATCCTCCTGGCCAGGAAACTCAGCTAAACCACTGTGAGAGCACCACAGTCTCTTGGACACAAACTGGTTCCCCCTGGTTCTCAACTTTCCATGCCAGTCTTCTACTGGTTTGTATGGGGAGCCCTCGTTCCCCTAAGCACTCTATGATTTCCCAAGTTAAACCACCTTTCCTTGTGCTACTTGACCTGTCTCTTTAAAGGCTCATTTTCCTAGAGGGAAAAATGAAACAGAAATAAAGAGAAAGGCAGTGTCCTTACCAAGAAGACAATGTTGGTGTTCTGATAGAGCGCCCGTGCCACACAGATTCTTTGCCTTTGTCCCCCACTCAGGTTGATGCCCTAGGGAAGAAATAACCAGAAACATCATTTTGTCCCTGTTAATATAGGATCTGTTGGTAAAATTGCCTTTAAAATACAAAATCTGAAATGTTTTTAAATTACTGGGAATTTGTTAATTAAATTGTGGTAACGTTGATAAGAAAAAATAAAAATGGTCTAATAGCACTTGAATTGCATCAAGAGGCTTTTCCACTATTGACATTTATCTTTTCACTCTGATAGAGAGCTCTGCTTTACTGAAATTAAAACCCTCGGACAGGGCGGGAGATTTAGCTCAGTGGTTCTGCCACCTGCCTTGCAAGTGCAAGGTCCTGAGTTTGATCCCCGACACCAAAAAAAAACAAAAAACCCTTGGTGAATGCCAAAAACTGCGAGCAATTCCACATTTTTCTAGTTTCCTGCAGATTATTTAACACATAGTTCTTATATTTGATATTACGTTATATTAAACAGGATTATATACCAGTATTCTTTCATAAGGAAGCATTAATTATAATTTTTAGAAACTAGTATTAATTTAGAGCTTAGTATGTGCTAGGTTTGTGTAAATGGCTTTACATTTCTTATTTCTTTTCTTATAGAAACTCCAATATGGAGGCACTATTCTCATTTTACCTGCGTGGAAACTAAGGCTCAGAGAAGTTAAGTCAGTTTTCTTAAACATTATACTATGCTGAAATAAAGAGCAATTGATGTAATAAAGCCATTAAGAACAAAAGGCAACAGAGTCAGAATAATCCTTGGTACACCACTAACTGCATTTGGGCAAGTTCTTAGGCCTTGTTTTTTCTCAGCTATAGAACATAGAGAACAATTAACACCTACAAGACATATTTGTTGTCAAAGTAGGTAATATGCATAAAGCTTTTGCCTGGCACCTGATACCTATGAGGTTAAATGTATTTAGTTACCGATGTCATAAAGACTTGAGGTGTAAACATTTTTCAGCTGGTCAGAATAGCACGACGTCAACGTAAAACATGTTTACACAAAGAAAACAGAACGCTTTAACAAAAATAAACAGAGGTTGACGAGAGTGGAAGAAGCTGTTGGAAGCAACCTCAGGTTCCGAAGCAATTTAAAGTAAGCTCCAAGTCAGTAAAAATATATTTAGCCAAAGCCAGGAACTGCATTTTATTTCCTCTGAGAACTCCCAAGGGTGATTACTTGATAAGTCCTTAAGGGACGGTGACATCCGAAGACTTGTCCTCACATTTTGGAGCCTGTCACTAGGACACCATTCAACTTCTCTCTCGGAGTTCATTTGATCCACGAGGGAGCAAAGACAACCAGAGACTATCTAGGTTCTGTGCGCTGTTTAATTCAACGATACATAGCTCACCCTCTCCCCGATTTCAGTTTGGTCTCCAAATGGTAACAGGTCAATGTCTGGCTGAAGAGAGCAGGCGTCCGTGACAGCTTTGTACCTTCGGGAGAAGTGATTTTGGATTTGAATTCACTATTACGACTCTGTCCACCCACACTCCAGGTTCTATGCCTTGGAAGCTGAACTTCCAATATTTACTGGTGATGGAGGGAATCACAGGTGCTAGAGATGCCGGGAAAAATCTCAATGGCTTTGTTTTCTCAGTTTGTAGCCTTAAAATATTCAAATCATTCTTGCTTGTTCCCTCTTCTACTCTCATGTTTGTCCATTCTTATTCTAGATGCTTCTTTCGCTCAACGATCCATGCTTTTTACACTTTTATTGTCACCTCCAAGTGCAGGTAACTCACTGCCTGCGTGGGTAATTATTTCAAGGAATCCTAAATGTCTCCTTGATCCCACTACAGAATATCTGTTTCTATATGCCTACTTCCATCTAATCTGTCAGAATTCACCTCCAGATGAAACATCACCTTTACCTGGTCTTCCTCACCTCTACAGCTTGCAGTGCCTCCCTAGCGTACTCATAATTTATGCCCCCCTAAAGAACTCATCTCAGCCTTCTGAACCCCATTCTGTCTGACTTGTTCCCAGACCCCAGACAGACCCAGGAAGGTTGTTTTTCTCCCACAGTATCTTGATTCTCCACCTCTAAGTCCCAATTTAGGGTCTGATGATTCACCCTTATAAAGGAGGGTCAAGGGAAGGGTCATACTTTCCGATGCTCCAGGGGAAGATGGCTGGGACAGGAAATACACAGGTCACTCAGCTTCTCAGATCTTTGATTATTCTCTGGTCCACAGCTCTCCTTCTTCAACTACCTTGAGTTTCCCCCCGCTTTTTTTAATCTGATCATCCAATAACCTTAGCAACCCTCCCTCCCACACAAATGTTGCTATGGCTTGGTCTTGTTGTCCTAACTCTTTCAAGGAGTATACAGGATGGGCTGGAACTTCCAGTAAGGATTTTCTTAAATGACTTGATTCAAAACACGGTGAGGGTGAGTGCAGAAGTGGGCCAAGTAGGGAAGAAAGGAAGACTCTTATGCAAAGGTTCCAGAAACCACAGATCAAGAATATGGATCCAAAATAGTTGTTGTTCCAGTTCTAAATTTTATATGTGTAAAATTACCTTTGTCTGTTGAAAGGACTTCCAAAGGTAATATTTTCTTCTACTGTAGCATTTAGTAGCCAAGGCTTTTGAGCTGCATAAGCCACAGAATATCTGTTCCTACTGGAAAATGGAAAAGGAAAACAAAATACTAGAATTATGCAAGGGTGCTGCACTGTGTATTTATTTTATTACAACAAAGGGGAAAGTAGTTGATAAGAGACCTCAGACACAGAGATGGAAAACTTCTAAAAGAAAATTTTAAACAAACAATTCTTTAAGCCAACTAAATTAATGAGATTAAAATTTAATCACAATGTCATATAATGTTTTGAGGTACAAATTACCAATTTATTTTCTTTTTGAAAATGACTATAATTTCTGCAATTAATAAAAATTCATTTTCTCCAATAACCACAGATATTTTATTTTCTATTAAAAGCACTTTATGCTACAGTGAATTTTGTATGTAGATTTTTTAAAAAACTAAGAATTGATAGTATGATTATGCTATTTTCTTGTGGCTTAATTACATTGTCTTTTTTTTTTTTTTTTGATACTAGATTGAACTCAGGATCTTGCACTTGGCAGGCAGGCGTGGCACCACTGAGCTAAATCCCCTTCCCTACATTGTCATATTTTAAAGGTAGTGAGTAACATAAACACCTTAAATCCATTTCAATATTGAAATGACACATCTTAAAACTATATTTAAACACATATTCATATACTTTATTTTTAATGATAAATTTCCTCCCCTCCCCTTCCATTTTTTGCCTTGAAAATTCTAATATATATATATATATATATATATATATATATGACTTTGATTTGCAATAATTAGGAAAATACATCTGAGCTGAAGATGAAGAGGGTGTGGGACTGGGGTGGGGACAGATCAGCTTAAAAGTTGGATTTCCATAGTTAGTCCATGATCTGTAAGTACTAATGAAGGAATGAGCATTAAAGGAGAGTAAGTTTAAGAAACATTAGACGGTCAGAAATCATCCTGAAACATTCCATCTTAGGAGCTTAGAAGACGTGGCAATGTATAGGGTGCTAGTAATCATTTAGATAATTACATGTGCAGTAAAGCAGTGGTTCCCAAACTCTGATGTGTCTGCCTCCCGTTGCCCTGGTCTTGAAGAGGGTTTTCACTCTTTGCTGTTGTTCGGTGCTGGCGCTAAATCCCAGGGTGTCAGACTTGCTACACAGGTGCTTCACCTCTGAGCTAAAGCCCCGCCCCTAAGGGTAGCTTTTGTTGAATAGATAAAGCACTTGCCTCCTGATCGCTGCCTTATAGGTCAGACTTCATCATTGTTTGAACTATAATCAACATATCCATTAATTCTTACGTGTTTATTTTATGAATTCTCAAATCTAGTTTAACAAGAACAGCCCGAGCTTCAGCTAAAGTCAAAACGTGTGACTGAGATAAAAACAGGATACATATAACCCATTTTTGTTGACAAATCAATTCTTTCGGCAGTCTGCAAAGGTTGTGAACTACTGCTTTAGAAATATGTAACACTTTGAAAAAATAACTGTACACCATCAGAATGAACAACATGGCCAGGAGTAAGGGATTAAAGTGAAGACTGAAGAAGGATGTTATTTTTATTAAACTCGGGTTAAAATAGAAATAATACCTTCTGGTCGCTTCAAAAGAAGGCTCAGATTCATTTACACTGCAAGTATGGCAAACAATGTCCATTAATTATGAAGTATAAATATAGAATGAACATGTGCACAATATCAGGCGGGAGATAAAATAAACACTGGATGAAGCATCTACATTTCTCAGATGGTTTTTGAAATTAATTTCAGAGACAAGCCGGATAAATAATATTCTTCTATTATGTCATCTTCAGCTAGGAAATTATTATTTAATAAACTTCCAAAAGATATCACTGTTATCTTCCATACAAAATTTTGGTTCGCACCGTGACCTGAATTCTAGTTCCAACTTTGCTCCAATTAGCTGTGTGGACTTGGGTAACCTCTCCAGAAAGTTTCCTAGTTTCATAAGGATTATAGGTTTCCATTATCTCCCTACTTTTACCATTTAAATGTAACCTCTTTAAATAACTAACTACTCTATGAGACGAGCAGAAGAAATCACTTTTGGACTCAAAACATGGAAAGTGCAAAAAACACTGCTGGCCCTTAAGGTATTAAAAGAAAGACATATACATGATAAATCAAACTACATCTGAATATAATCAGTTATTGATTGATAAGGTTTATGTAAAAAGTGGAGTTTGACTAATTACATTTAATTATACCTATATTAGGAAAATATACCTAAGACAAGTTCATTTACTTTTGTTTTTTTCCTCATTGAGTTTATTGGTACATTTTAGGTATACAGTACAGTTACATTCATCATTGGGATCTTGCACCTTTACATGACAGGTCTTGGTTCTCATTTTGCCCCTTGTCCCTGCCCTCCCTTCACCCCTCCTTCCCTCCCCCTTTACAAACACTTCATTTCCATTTTTTCAGTTTCTCATATTTTCTCCTTTTCCCTTATTAGCTTTCCCCTACCCTTCCCACTTTCCCTACACCTTTAGCCCCTTTCTTCCTATTTCACATTGTTCATTATATCATTAGGATCTTATGTACTATTATAGTTTATTCACACCAGAGAAACTATTTGGTATTTACACATGTGTGACTTATTTATTTCACTTAGGAGTATATCCTCAATATGTATCCATTTTCCTATGAATGAATCTAATTTCTCATTCTTTATGGATGAGTAATATTCCATTTTATAGAAAAACCACATCTTCTTTATCCAGTTTCCAACTGATGGGCAAATGGGCTGTTTCCAAGTTTTAGCTACTACAGACTGTGCTGCTATAAACATGGGTTCGCATATATCTCTATGATATGATTCTTTTAATTCCTTTGGAAAGTGGAAATCAATATGGAGATACCTCAAAGAGCTGGGACTAGAGGTTGCATTTGACCCAGCCATCCCTCTGCTGGGTGTCTTTCCAAAAGACAAGTTCATTTTATTGTTAAGTAGAGTTGAAATTCATCATTCTGAAAGAAAGACCTGAATTCAATAAATATACACATAATTTAAGTCTATAGGAACTCCAAAAGTGGATCATATTGGAGTTGGGAAATTGTCTTATGCTTTTTTATGGAAAAATTCACTTAATTACATTACCTAATGATATTTGGTTTAGAATATTAATAATTATGTTCACTAATGCACATTGCTAATAGAGGCAGGAAGAAGCCATCTTTGACAAAAAGATTCCTCTCAATAGTGATTATTCCTTCATTTAAGTTATTCACAAAAACAAAGAGATGAACTGCTCAATTTTCAAAATATTTAGTGAATGTTTACGTTTTAAAATTTTTCTTACACTAAAAGACCCCTTAGCATTAATCTCCCTCAAAATCTTCTCCTTCCCTTGGAAGACCCTTATCCCATCCTTTTGCCACTTCCTAAAGCAGTTCTGCAAGTCCTCTTTCCTGAATATCATTATGAGATGTGATAACAAATACAGTTCATGTGGCTGCTGCCTCTCATCCAGTGGAAGGGCAGGCTCATAACAACATTACAGTGTGGTTTTATCCACCTTATTCAATGAATCCTACACCACGTGACTTCTGTCTCTTCCCTGAAGTCAAAATGGCCATGAAAGGTAGACATTTGGAATGGACTCAGGACATGGGGGCAGCCAGAACAGCTCAACTAGAGACATTGAAGAGAACTTCCCGAACTGCTTCAGAGAGAGGCAAAAATGATGGCTAAGTGTGAATGAAGCAAGGGGCAGTGTTTTGAGTGAGATTCATGGCAATGAGTCTTTTATTATAATAATTTTTTAAAAAATTAAAAACATTGTATTTTTCCTTCACACCTTGTATTTTCTACAACATATGCTCTAGAGCACAAGAAAATTTACACTTCATTTTTTAATGGTGAAAAATCAATAGATGACCTCAATGCCTTTAGTTACTTTGGAGAAGAGAGGTGTAAGAGAAGGTGTCTGACAGAAATTAGTAGGTCTGTTTGCATATGTGCCATTCAGGTGTGATGCCCATTGAACGTTTGAAAATGTCAGCCTGCGCTAAAGACATGGATTTGGAAGTTACCAATGTATCCAATACTGATTTACTAAATTCCAACTATATTCAATATCAATTAAAATATTTCGGATCACCCTCTGGTGCCCAAGATATTGAGGGTAGTGCAAATTAGGATTCAATCTTTCCTCCATGCTGTGTTACTCGTGTAGGAACAACACAAAAGAATAACCACTAAGATGGGTGGGGTAAAGGCTGATTTTTGGAGTGCAGATAAAGGACAGCCAAGTCACTTTTGGCAAAACAGTTTTAACATTAGGGTTCATGTCAAAGGGATCATTAAAAGTGACCCAGATGAAGAAAAAGGGCAAGAGAAACATTTCACTTCAGGCTGCAGAAAGTACATATTGCATGGGGTACCCTGCTCAGATGAGGAACTGGTAGAAATTCAGCATGGCTAAACTGTGGCTGTAGTCACTGAAGAAAAGCACACGAACCTTAAAAAGTAAGCACAGTCACTCAGTGAGGAGGTTTGCAAACCACTGTACGGAAAATGAATTTTTTCCTCACAGAATTGAAAATCATGGAAAAGTTTCAATTGCAAGTACGAGAGGGCTAGGTTCCATTTGGAAACATCACTCTGGTCACAGATTGTAACGAATGAATTTGAGGGAACAAGACGAGGTGGGTGGTACAGAGATCCCTGGAGGTTGTCAAAGTAATGGAGACAGAATGCAGTTCTTCTATTTTAGGGCCGTGATACCTGGGCGCAGCAGCCCATGTCTATCTGTAATCCCAGTGCTCTCGCCGGTGGCAGCAGAAGGGTCACAAGTTTGAGCACAGACAGCCTGGGCCACTTAAAATGATTTAACAAGACTTTGTTTCAAAATAAAACATAAAAAGATCTGAGGGTGCAGCTCAGTGCAAAATCCCTGAGTATAATCCTAAGAAGTGGAAAAGATAAAAAAGACAATGCTAAGTGAGTGATGAGAAATGGAAATATTTAAATACCTAACATTTTACGGTTGAGGAGAAGGAAGGGATGAAAGGGAAAGGGTCAAGAATAAGAAGTACAGGACAGGAAGTGCCTACGCTGGGGGAAGATAGTGAGGTAAGCATCAGACACACTCGGTTTATGGTGCCTAAGTAACATCCAAGTGGTCGTGGCCAGGAAGCGGAATTTAAAGCTCAGAAGAGAAAATAAATGAAGACTTTGGAGTGATTTTCTCTCATGATCTACGCCTTAGCTACCAAAACTGTGAATTCTACCTTTTATTAGTAAAAACTCAATAAATACTTCAACATTTCTAGCTTGTTTCATAAGATACCAGAAGATGAAGAGCAGGAAGTAAAAATTCAAGACATGGGCAAGTGGATGATCGCCCAGCAAGTGTGCACAGAGGCAGAAGACAAGAAGATAGAAATCTGAACATCACTATTTAACAAAGTAACCAAGGAAGAGAAATCTATAGGAGGAATCAAGAGGAGGAGATAGCTTTAAGAGGTAAACTAGATTATGACTTTCACTGGAAACTAAGCAAGGAGATGTTTCGAAGAAGACAGGTATTGTAACAAAGCCTGGTGGTCAGAAGATCAAGTAAAATAAGAGCTAAAATGTTTCCAATGAACAAAATAACCAGAATGCCATCGAGGGCTTTGGTAGGGAACTAGGACTAGTTTCAGTCTAATAGTAGAGACAGAAACCTGATTGCAGGTGGCTGTGGTGAGAACAGACTATGAGGAATTAAAGATAATGAGTGGAAATATTGTTTTATCCATGAAAAGAAAGAGACAGAGGGTAGTTGGAGGAGGTTATGGCTTGAAATTAGAACAATGGATGATAATCAGTAGACAGGTGATAGACAGATGATAGAGAGACAGACTGGAGAGTCTGCTTTCCTACAAACAAATGGAAAAAAAGCCACAGACTGACCTCAGTGTGGAGCACATAATAAATGACAGTATGCTTTGGTTTTAGAGTGTCATGGTGTAAGAACAATTCTCATTAGTGTTTTGAATCAAGAGCAGTGGGCTCAGATGAAAGGATTCACTGAAGTTGTAGGAGAATGGAAGAAGACTCCTAAAGAGACAACATCTGACTTATTACTAGAAGTAAAAGTCAGGAGTAAGTTCTATCTCATCAGAAGCTCTATGCTCCTGGAGCGTGCTATTAAAGGTGGTGGGATGGAAGGATAGGAGTTTAAAAAATCAGACAGCGACCAGATCATGAAAGGCTTTTAATGTCATGTGCAAAATTTGTTGGAACATTTCTCATATGTTTTTGTCAGTCAGTCAATAAAAAATTCTAAGCAAGAGAGAAGCAGATAGATTTCCATGTCAAAAGTAAGGGTACCAACAGTGTGCAGGAATATTGGGAAACTAGTAGAGTAAGTGGAAATTAAGATACACATAGAAATGTAGGGCAGATCTAAGAAAGTCGGGAGAATGGAGATGGTGACTGGTTGGATTTCAAGGACAATGGACCTTTTAATTTTGGTTTATACCTAAAATGCGAGTTCAAGTTATCATTCATCTATTTACTTCCCCAAAGAAAACCTGTGCTGGCCCCAGATTCCATCCAGTCCCCTATGGTTTGTTCTCATATGTACTTCTCCTTCCTAGTATTTATTTTTAAATTATT